ATATAAAATTTCATTTTCATAGGAGACCCAACTGAATGCTCCCGTCACATCCACTTGGCCTCCCTAAACTATTCTGTCAGCGCTGCGGAATGTCAGCGACGTAAAAACGAATGACATATGGCATCAATCGCCACCGAGTTGCTTGATGAATGCTTGGAAACCAAATCGCCCATGGAGCAGGTGGAGCGCAAAACCAGCAAAAAGGCACAAAGTGAGATTCTTCGATCAGCCTGCATTGCTGATAATGTTTGTGTATGAAATCCAATGAATATGGAAATTCTACCTTAAAGTCAGTTACGTGAAGAAAAGGGCAGCAAAATCAATGCTGATCAATCGTTTTCGGATTGCGCCACGCATACGAATTCCGCTCAGAATCCTCAGAGATTAGAAAGTAACTTCAATTGTACAAAACCTAGGGAAATAGTCAATGTATAAGTCACCGTATTCATCCAACCGTAAGGGCCTGGTACCAGCTAACAGCTTTTATAGATGGGAATTCTGGGGTTTGACCCCACGACTGTGCTTATGGCAGGTGGCGACACTTGCCACTACGATAGATCGTGCTACCTGAAGTTATGTCAAACAACCACACAACGTGGTTGGCCTCCACCAGTGGTGTTGTATGTGATTTTTCACCTTCTGTTTTTAGGCGCAGGGATATTTCCGGTGCAAAATTTGGAACGCAATGGCAAGAATCAGTCGATGACAATCTTTCACATCCTCCTTTGGGTCACATTCCAAGACACTACAACCACTAGAGGCGGGAAACACACCCGGATTTCTGGCTTATCTTCACTCAGGGAAAGAACAAAGGAAGATGGTTTGGCAGATCCGGAAAATCACTTATCAAAGGCAAGTAAACTAAAATAATGCCAAAGTTAAGTAACTGGTATAAAGCGGTGGGTGCATGCTACAGCACAGAAATGATGAGAACAATTGGCGCATGGACTACACAGAGGCAGCACATCTTAACGCTCAGATAATATTACAACCATGCAAAGGAACTGCTGACGGCAAACAAGTTCAGAGAAGGGATAGAGCATTGATTCACATAAGAAGTGACCGAGGTAAATCTTCCAGGTGAAAGCTCGATTTCTGAGAACAATGTGATTCCACAGGCTATTTTTCAAATAAAAAACATTTAGGCTGATGGTGATTGTGAACAGCAGGGATAGTTATAAGAAACTTTGGCGCTATCGCAAGATACGGGGGCATCCTCTGAGCCGATCCCTAGGAGGAGGACAGGAATCTTTGGGGAATGCTCACGCACCCTGGATTATCCCCTACCCTGCCAAAGGCTTAGTTCCATTCATACAAAAATGAGATGTTTCACAAAACATGACTTCTTAGACCAGCACCGCTTCTACAGATGCCCCCTCGTCGTATCTTGCGATACGCGCCAAAATTTTTCTTGTTTTTCCTTCCTTCATGTTCCCCATAACATATTGTATTAGAAAACAACTCCTGTCTTGATTCGGTTCTTTATATAGGAACATGCTTTTTTGTCTCGTATCTCCAGAAATTTCTTAATGTCACATAATTAAAAGTAAATGTTCACTGTGAAAGGAGTTTGGAAGCGATGAAAACATGATAATTGGAAACGTATGCAGGAGCCAACTTCACACCGCTGCCACTTCATGCCAGGTCAAAGGTCGCTAATTCCGCCGGACCAGAACTGATTGCTACTATGCTTTTAAAACGACAGTGGCAGTATGTAACGTGATACATAACGTACTGAAGAAAAGTTAAAAGAAACCGTCGAAAGCGTTGCAGCAAAACCCCTTCCAGTAACAGCAAACCGTAATAGCGATTGATTCTATGGGCGGTGCCAACGGTGTTTGGCGGGGCCAATACGCAAATCTAGAAGCATATCACCTCCCAGCCTTTATCAAATAATTCCCGAAAGGTCGCTGTTTGTGCTCTTCACCATAGTTACGTACCCTTCCTGGAGACAAAGCTTATTTTCGACCAGAATCTGCTTTTGCATAAACGAACTCGTTGTCCTCAGCTTTAGCCGTCTAGTTAGGGGGTATGTTGTCTGCCGGCAGTAGCAGTTTGGTACTTGGTACTTGGTTTCATTTAAATAACTGCCTAATGTGTTTTGTTTTGTTCCTTCGTTTATGTTATGTTCGACTAACACGAGTTTTGGCTTTGTTGGGCGCACCAAAAAGTGCAGTTTAATAAATAAATAAATAAATAAATAAATTTTTCACTGACCTTGCCTTCACAGTGTGACAAAAGGAATCTTCATAAATAGGACTCTCTTCAGAGTCTTCTTCAAATACATGTAAAAAAAACATGCTCCCTTTCTTCTTCCCCCTTCTTATCCCAAACCCTGTTTTCGAACTCACCCAGCCCCTATTTCAGTGTTTTCAGAGATTTTCTGTATAACATTCCCGACGGAGAAGTCAATACCGGTTCAATAATTCAGCATTATATTTCGCGAAGAAAGCTCTAACCGCTTTCCCGTGATTGACCTCTTCGCAACAGGTCAAAATACGACCTCATTTTTACAGTAGCCTGCGACGAAAGCGCCTGACCCGCAGCTCCCAAGGCTGGTTGAAAAGATGAACTCTCCATAAGCGTATGGTATTCGCACACACTCAAGATCGATCCAGTATTCCATTGAGTGCCAGTAGCTTGGCATACACAACCAAACCTAACAGATGATGTTGGCACTCCTACTTCGAATCCATCACGTGTTCGCGTGAATTGCTGTTTCGAACCCATTTACCAAGTCGCATCGGCCTCAGCATCGCCAGATGATGCGGTGAAAAGTCAACATCGGAGGGTTATCGCGATTCTCGCGTCATTTGACAGGATCGATGATTTGATTGCTTTTTTTACAGCGTAGCGCCTTGGTTCACCACCATAACTTTTCTTTCGCTGAGGGTTTCATCACCGCCCCGAAAACGCTGGCATCGTTCACTGCCTTGGCGCTTGAAGTCTGGTATCAGCACAGGCTCGGCAGCAAAGGTAGTGTATAAAGCCGCAATGACATTCAGTTAGCTATTTCCGACCTTCGTCTTCAAGTTTTGAAGCCATGTATGCTCGCAGTCGAAGGTTTCCGAACCCCCACCCTTGAAGAGAATGAAAAGCAGAAAGCAAAGCAAGCAGCTCCAAGGTAAGGCGATTAGCAGTCGATACTCCAAGATAATGTCTTTTGCAAAAATGAATTTACACCACCGAAAATTCGAGGCAGTTGAGAGCGAAATTGAAAAGTGCGCCGTTCATGTTGCGACAAGCCAACAAATATCACTGGAGTTTTCTGAAAACAACAGATTTGGTGCTGCGTATTTCTGACCCCGGTCCAAACCATATGAAACGTGTATGATAGCACCCCAAATGTTTCTCGATATTTGCTTGTAATTCAGTGCTCAAAAAGGATTACTTGGAACAAAAACTAGTTTTTGGGCTCGTCCATTTCAAGTTATTGTGAACCCTAGACTTAGTACTTTTTTATATATTCTACGTCCTCTACCCCTCTCAGAAGCCGACAGGACCTCCACCACTATCACCAGTCCTCAGGGAACCGTTTTTATACTATTTGATGCTGGGACCAGGACACACCACAGCTCCTCCTACTTTTTCCCTTTAATACGGCCGTGAGCGTAGGGAAAATCGGTCTCCACAAATGGCAAATCTTCTAGTTCCCGACTTCAAGACCCTTTCGTGAAGTTTTTTTTTCTCTTCTGCGAAAATAAGCCATCAGACCCGACTTCCTCCTTACGCAGTTACCACCCTTTACACGCTATAAATACAACCTCCCTTTCGAATTCACTTGCCGTTCATCGACCTCATATATGACCCCCGTTGGTACTTGAACCGACGAATGGTTGACCTTGATTGCACCTACTACATTGACAGCGAGCGTCAGCTAATAAAGTTCTGCCTTGAGCTCTAGGAAAACGTCCTCAGTCTGTCTACAACCCATAGAGACGAGGTGACTTCGATTTTCAGAAAAGAAAAAAGGTTGGGATAGGGATATCGGTGACATACTACGCGGACAAGATGTCACTGAATAAGTACTTATTCTTCGAAAACACCTCCAGGTAATAACTCTAAGCGCGGCATGGTAGATGTATGCGAGATGGTCCATATTGCCAACTGGGGTATTGTTTTGCTACTAACCCAGGTTGCTGTTATAATTCCTGATACTAGGGTCTCGATGCGACCCCAACACCACCATCAGCCTAGAAGCCTCCCCCATCTCCGAACGCCACTCTCTAATCATCGTGTCTGTTTCTACAGTATTTGATTCCGTGCACAGTCGGCACAACCGACTCCGCCCATTTTTTCCTTTGAAAACGGCCGTTGAGCGCCGAGCCGGGGAAGCGGGGGGGGGGGGCAAATTGGTATCATAAAGTGGCAAATCCACCAATATTGTCTAATTTTACTAATTTCCTGAAACTTTACAACATTCGTCCAAACACAACTCCGATAACGACCTCCGTCAATGACCGTTCCCGCTATAACCTTTCTTAATCCCAAAATTCGACCCCCTCGTGAAAAGTGTGAACGGACGTTAGTCGCTACCTGATACTACTATTCTTGTCAACTGCTAAACTACGCAGTCACTCCAACCTCCAGTCATCGAAATTAACGAAGGTAAAAATATCAAATTGACAAATTCGAAAGCATGGAACTTTTTTCTATATGGGTGAGCTGTGTCTCAGCAGAAAACATAGAACATTAAAAGTCTTTGATTTGTCGAAACAAATGTCTGTCTGCGATAAGTCTGGTGTGCTTATTGCTAAGTTTGAGGTTTTTTGGACGATACACAGCTAAGTTTGATAATAAAATACTTTTTTTTGAAGAGAAGAATTCAGAACACTGAAACACTGATTATTCTGGTAGGGAGATGGGTAACAGTACCTGTTTCGCGTTTTCAATCTCATCGTCCCATTTGGGTTGCACGGGCATTCGAATCGGTTCGGAATGAGGAATTGTCGCCTAAAACGAAAAGTAGTTTTCTTAGAATTCATACAAAAACTACTTACGAGCCCAGCGAAAATAGTCCAATACATTTCGGTTGAGCTCATGCAGACTGAGTGAAAAATTACGTTTTTCTGCTGAATAATGATTTTATGAAATTTTCGATATAATAATACATGGAGTATTTGATAAATCCCTGACTTAATTAGCACTCCACTGTTATGTGTTCCGTCGAGCATTTGCACATTTCTGCCTAGTTTATGGAATTAATTCGCAAGGCAATGGCAGCCTCAGTCACTTAGTAAGCTCAGTAAGTTGCTAACCAGCCACCAGGGTAACGCGCGATTTTCCTTACGGCGCAGCTTTCGTTGTCCAATGAAAGGGCACAGGTTCACAGCGCCCTACAGAAGCTTCTACCAGAATGTTTAGCGAAGGACAAACGTAGAGCGATGGAAAATGGTCCGTTGAATTGCGAATTTTTTTGGCCATACCTCGAGTTGAAACCTTTTCGGGCCAACATGTCTCCGGTGTGGGCTAGTCAGTACCAGATTCATTAGCGAGGATCAGCACATGCATTAAACAAAGTCAAAGCACGCCTGAAATTAGTCACCTGTAGCCCTTTGAAGAATACTTGCCTCGACAACATTATCAATTAGGAGGACTGGCTCCCAGCAGTGTGTGAATTTCAAAAGTAATAGCTGAATGACTGAAAGCCTGCCTTATAAAATGATGTTTCTATTCAATGCCTTCAGTTTTTAGAGAGCTTGGATTGGTAAAATAGTCTGTTATACTTTTTTCAAGAAATCTAATAAAATATTGATTAGTGAGAGGTGTGAGACGAAGGGTAAGGAAACGAGCGGGGCAATGAAAAATGAATTCCAGCTGCGCTCCTTTGGGTCTACTGTTCGCGTTATAGAATGTCTCCAATACCTATCTAGTTGAACCTAAATCGCATGGGTTCCCCTTTGCGGAGTATTCTTCTCGTTTGACGGTACTGTGCCTCATGTCCTTTGCTAATTAAGAAGCTTAAACTTTCGTGTGGCTTGTTCAAAGTAACATTAGCGATTCCGCTACGCAGAAGGTAATTATGGTGAAATACACAATTGGTTAGATCATCAATAAAAGAAACTGTTTTCCCGAAAACTGAGATAGAGACTAATCTCTTCATACCGGCGCACATGCTCTTGTGGTTTATAACCATTGTTTTCGATAGCTATTTCTAATCAGCTATATTTTGCGGTCACTACAAGGCTTCTGTCAACCAAAGGGTGAGAGCGTAGCTGGAAAAGCACACTTTGTGTCTTATTGGGACTAAGCCTTTTGAAGGAAATAAGAAAGAGAGATGCTGTGATAGTGTGCACTTGTGAGAGCTCCCAGACATCACTACAAAACGCTGAACCGCCAAGGCTCACGGTTGACAGATGTCCTGAGACCATTTTGCAGTAAAAAAATGCATTTTGAATTAAAGCCTTGAGTGAGGATTAGGCGGTCATAGAAGGCCTTTCCATCACTACTATGGCCAGGACTGCGCTCAGAGGGGTGACGCCACGCTCCTGACTCGAGATTGCGCGGCGACAAGGCCTCTGGCCTACTACTTACAGCGATGGCTTCGTTGCATCAGCTAGGCCCGCCCACCGCGGGATGTGGTGCGTGGCTGGCATAACGTGTGAATATCAGCGAGGTTGATTGCCGTATCAACCGTTGTAACGGCTGGCATCTCTGGAAAACTCGTTTGGACTGTGCTCTCTCCCAAGCAAGCCTCCTTCACTGCTGGAGGGAGAGGGGTTTCGTTTTCGGCCTTGTCGACGGTTTCTTTGTTTTTTTTTCACTGTCGTTCCACTTCGCATCTTCCATACTGACCAGGAAGGTCTTTCAGGGCGTGACGAGCTTTTTGAAAACGGTCTTTTGCATGATATAGGGGCAGATGCGGGAACCACAGAACCATGTTCAATTTTTCCTGAACGGCCCTCTGAATACCAGAAAAGGAGGTCCCTAGTTCGATTCCTCGTGGTAACAAATTTTTGCATTTCGAGTTGACGTGCCAAAATTCGCGCAAAATGGAGTTAGAACCAACCAGAACAATCAGAACTCCATTTTGCGCGAATTTTGGAACGTCAACTCGAAATGCAAAAATTTGTCACCAAGAGGAATCGAACTAGGGACCCCTTTTCTGGTATTCAGAGGGCCGTTCAGGAAAAATTAAACATGGTTCTGTGGTCCCCGCATCTGCCCCTATATCATGCAAAAGACCGTTTTCAAAAAGCTCGTCACGCCCTGAAAGACCTTCCTGGTTAGTCTCATACTCGTTAATTTGCGCACGACTTTTGAACCTTTCAGCCATCGAACTCATAGGATTCAAATTTTTCGAATACCCTAATGAAATACCAGGCCGACCTGCTCGAGAGTTAGGACCACTAATAATCAGCAGAGGCAATGAAATTTTGTGAGCAATATCGCTCAGAAAACCATTACTGCTCATTGATCCTTCCCGCATTATTGCCCCTCTTCCCATGAGCAGCGTTTTTTTCCACCAAAAAAAAATCTAGAAATGTATTTCCAAGCTTCTTCCGTTGTAATTAATGACTGCTCCCCAATACTCACAGTGCTGACTTCATCCGGATCGATGTTCTGAATCTCGTCCTCTTTTCGTTCGATTTTTGACACAGAGGATTTCCTCGGCCGTTCGAATGCCTCGTTCAGCGCCTTCGTCGGAGCATACGAGAAGCACTTTGAGGCCTTATCGTATCTGAAACGGTGTATGGATCACACAAGCAAACAAGCGGTTGTCTTTTCACATAAAAGGAACTATAATTTAGTTGTAGAGTTTGGTACTGTGCTTTTACATCAATGTCGCCCCCCCCCCCCCATAAGCCCAAGTAAATAAGGCCGTAGTTGCCAGACCACTACGAATCACGCATTGTCTCAAAATTGAATTATTTATCCGATTTTTTAGCAATAAAGCTTTAGAACCGTTTAGTCGTTCACTGCTGGGGCTGTATGCTGAATGTTGGGGAGGGGATGGGGTCTCCGACGGTTGACGGCCTACTTCAACTCGGTCCTTGAAACGCCTCAATTTGATGCTTACCTCAGGACTAAGCCTTAAAGAGAGGATGGACCTGCGAGAGATATGCACTAAGTCCGCACTTCTATAAAGGCTTTGTCTTTGGTCAGCAAACGCAGTCGCGCTTTGCGACGCCTGCCAGACTAGCTGCACCACTTCGTCATCACTCTCCTACCGTAACGATAGAGTTCCAGAGTAGTGCGTCGAGATTGGGGACCCATCTCCTCCTAAACATTCAGCATACGGCTCCCAGCAGAAACGCCAAAAGGGCTGGTTTGCTTACCTCAATTCTTTATGCCCTAACCTCTCTCCCAGTAAAGAAGAAATAGTACCACACTTGTATGGGAATTGCAAGAATTCGGTCATGTCACTCCCATAAGGCCCTAAAGATAATTTTGCCTTGTTTTAGATAGTCAACTGCTGATTTTGCTACAGTTTGCCTTGCCTGAAATAATGTGGCCATTTAAATGCAATAGACCTCGAATTAAAGACAGAATGTAACTTTGCGCAGCCGGCCAGAATTGAAGCTGAAGAAATAGTGCTGACTCTTAATCGGATACTGGGACCAAATCAGTAACGGTCATACTTTATGTTTCTACTAGTGATGCTGTTCAACTTAGTCGGGTACTGTATTTTCACCCAACTTTTTAAATGGTCACGGCATGCATTTCCTTCAAACAGGCTACGAGCATTCATGTCGCATTTCAGGTTATCCTACCATTTCATTATGGACCTCTTGGAGGTGTATGAAAAAGGTGTCACGGCTGACTAGAAATGGCATCTGAGGCTCATTGATGAACATGCCTTAGCACGAAAACTGGGCAATTCGTGGCGATTGGCGCCCAAACCTGTCGGCGGATAAAGCATGCAGGGGCGGAAGTGGTGTAGTGACAAGTGGCACGCTTACCACGCGAGCGGTCCGGGATCAAATCCTGGGTCGTGAGTCGCCCGGGCCAACCAAGCCTTCCATCCCTCCGGGGTCGGTTAATTGGTACCAGACTTGTCTGGGAGGATAAAAACACTGACTTGTACATCGGCTGGCCCCCGCAAGTCATTGTATAGGCCACATCGCATTCAAACGCCACTACGAATGTACAAATGGAAGTAGAATGCGTGCCGCATCCCAAAAAGGGATTGATCAACGGCAAATGCTTTATCCTTTTATCCTTTACCCCGTCGCGGATCGGTTGCGGTCAGGTCCCATGTTTCCCGAGCTCCTTTACAAAATCTCATTTCCACGCATTTGTAGGCTCTTGTTCCACCGGCATTCACTTTGGTACCATAGGGATCTCCAGCGTTCTCACGACACTTATGAATTTCAGGCTGATTGGCGGTTGCTATCGTTGAAATCGGTGGTGACAGCCCTCCAGTTGTACAAATATTCATAAATGATCGTAAGCAAAGAACATAGAGTGAAAAATTCCATAATAATTCATGAAGTACCCTACCTATCCTTTCCAACCAAATCTGGCTCTATACTCGGTGTCGCTCTGCCCGCCTCCCGTGGACTGGGTGGACGTTGGACGAGAGGTCGAACCTGTGCTGGCAAGACACCCCGTCTGAAAATAATGAGGATCACGCTCACCCGATGGAGCTTATAAAGCCGTATGCCAACAAAAACTTACCGTTCAGGCAATTCTGGCACCATGGGATCCGCCATTGCGGAGGCGGAACGCGGTTTTGGTGGCACCGGCGGAGGAGGCATTTCCGCTTGGTCCTGAATGCGACGAATATACCAGATTGAAATTCTCAGCATGGCAGCATTTTATGCTTTGCCTTATTTCGTAATATTACGACACTACTTCTCAGCGCAGGGTTTTGTGAATCTCACAGGAATTTCTTCCATCGTTGGTCGCTCATGTACCTTATTGAATTCATTGTGCAAGATTTCATCCACAGGGGAGGAGAAACATGAATTAAATTGGTCTATTTAGCCGTATATGAAGCAGGACAGTTCCCCCATAGCTGTGTTTTTGGCGATTTTCTAGGCGTGCTGCCTCGATTGGGGATGTTGAAATCAAGCAAAAGGGGGTGGTTGTCGCCAGAGAATGTAAGCGTAGCAACGGGACTGACGCCCCTATAGTTACCCTCCCCTTCAGAAAGCGAGAAAGTGTCGGGTGCAGACCATGCACCACAACTGACGACGGCCTTCAAGCAAAACTGCACTTTGTGAACTTGACACTTCCTCGCTTTTTGAAGGAAGGTTACGACCTCAACCAAAGACAGCCGGCATACTCACAACAAAGAAAATTATTGCAGCGATTTGGCGCTTAAGTTAAAATAGTTGGAGAATTGTGGTAATACATCACGAGACCACTCCCCTTAACCCATAATCGCGGCGATCTCGTCCACTGACCTGTCTCCGTCTCTACCTTCTCGCCGTGTGAAAGGCCTCCTGGCAGGTACTCGTACTCGTGCTGCGCTGATGATTCATCGGCTCTACTCCGGGGAAGTGGGCACGCGCTGCCCTCACCCCACCCCTATAGATTCTGCATACACTCCCGTGACTCTTGGCGAATACCACGATTTTTGACGTGACAGTATTGTTGTAAGCAGCGCCAGCAGTCACTTACATACATTACTCTGTCGCTCAGAAAAATCGTGCCCGTGCCACCCTCACTTGTAGAGCCGATTCATTCATACGCAAAAAGCAAAAATCACGGAGATATGGAAAAAGCTTGATTTGAAAAGGCACTCGTGAGGACGGAAACAATCATGCACACCATTATCCCACCTCACGATTCGAAAGTACGCTTGCCTAGATCGCGTTATGGTTCCATCATCTCTCCGCACCTGGCATAGATTCTGAGATCGAAACTTCTTTCAGCGAAGCAGGTTGCAATAACCGTTTGAGTTTATCGGCTTTCCTCTACCCCCCTCACCCAAATTTTCCCCCCCCCCCCCCCCCCCCCCCCCCCCCCCCCCCCCCCCCCCCCCCCCCCCCCCCCCCCCCCCCCCCCCCCCCCCCCCCCCCCTTCTTTTTTTTTTTTCTTTTCCTTTTTTTTTCTTTCTCCTTTTCCCTTTTTTTCCCGATCCATAAACAATAAAAATGGAGCAGAAATTACCGATGAATTATTTTCGTACGCCGTTTGCTGATGCCTTCCAGTTTGCTTTCTCTTTCTCGCGGGTTCTTTCGACGAATTTCGTCGACTTCGTCGGTTTCTTCGAATTCGCTATTATACTACAGAACCGTTCGATTCGGTCTGAAATCAAGTCGCGATATTAAGTCAATATGGAAGATTTGCTGTATGCAAAAGCAACCAAGATTATTCGTTGAACAACAGCCGTTTCGTTGCTTGCTCCACTGAAAGGCAATAATCAAATTTGCATCATTGATGGGTTGATTCCACTCAAATGTGAAAGTAGGGATGAGAGGGTGGACCGCCAGTGGAGAAAAAGGAAAGAAAATCCTGAAATACACAGGAAATACGAGCATTTTGCTCCATGCTGTGGAGAAGTTCAAAAGACAGGCAGGGAGATGAGAGATAATGTGAGCGCGGAGAGTGGTAGAGAATCCGAGAAGAGAGAGCATAGCACATCAACGTGGCGACGCAGACAAGATATCGAACGGTGGGCGGACCATGTTAAGTTTGGTGGAGTCTGTTAGAAGTCCATGGCGCCTAGGGTCCTAGTGACGCGTTTCGATGTAGAAAGGTGGCGCTACCTTTGCACTTGCGTACCCAGCACTTCTAGCCATGGTAAGGGCTTCTTAGGTGGGTCTGAGCCCGAACTTGCCCTTTAAAGTTAAGATTATGCTAACACACGTTGCGTAGATCTCAACCGGGGCTGAGGGATGGCACTGGGGTTGCAAGATCGAAAAAGTTCAAAAGTGGGGCGTGTTGCGGGAATTGATGGCCGGTTCATGTGCGGTCCTTGTTGGCGGACACGTACGGACGGCGTTTTGGAACGATTTCCGGGCCTAGAATTTTGCGAAATAAGGGAAGCGGAAAGAAAACCGGGAATTTTGCTGTTCGAATATTCACTTTAACTCAAATTAGAAATATTTACCTTACCTAGCCTCCCCACCCGTAACGGTGCGCTCGACAGCCGCTTTTGGAGGAAAGAAGGAGTTGCAGCCCGTGGACTGGATCTCAGGTACCAGCATTGCGGGCAGGGTCATAGTAGGGGAGGAAGGCAGACCCAACGTCGAAAGTCGGAGAAGGCGAAACTTTATTAAGTGAACGAGGCGCTGCGCGGACCTATCAAAGATCGGGTAACCGGTCAGCATCGCGGTTTGCCAGCGAAATGGAATAAGCCCGGCCGCATTAGCTGTCTTTCACCGCCGGCGCTAATCGAATGCCGGCACGCCACAACCGGGTAACCACTTGCTGCGATGCCTCTAGCAGTTAGTAGAGGAAGCGTCAGCTTGAACGCGCGGCAGCTCAATCAGAGTCGCATCAATGAGGAATTCAACAGGCAAGGAAGAGGTCTAATCTGGGGTATGGGCAGCTTCTTATGGTCTTTTCTTCATCTCGGCGCCACCTCGCCAACATTCTAACCATTTAATTTTAATAGGCTCATCTCTATACCATCGTGAACTCCGCACTTACGGGTCTTTGTCGGTCGAAGACGCCCGGAACTTTAACTATTTAAACTATTATTAACGTCGCTTGAAAGGCTCATGAAATTTAATTACATTTTCAACTGTTCTTTCAAAATACAATTAATAGACATTGATCAGGACCCATTTCAGCATGGGGTGCAAACACACTACCACCCGCCATGCGCCACTTGATTTCCCCGTATTCACGAACCTATTAAACTTTCGGGCGGTGAAGAGCTGAAGGACCAATAGCTATAAGCTTGGAAATTTTCAGAAAACAAAAGCACAGTAGGAATGCATGTATGAAGAAGCGCGAACGCATTGGTTCGTTCACGAAGGAATAATGTCTATGAAAAAAAGAGAAGCCTTGTTAGCGCACGAACGGAGCGAATAATGTATGGAAAATAGGAGAAAACGGATCAATGCTCGTCACGCCAATGATTGACCGCATCATGCGCTAGACATAAGAAAAAAATGCAATTGTCCTTTTCGCCCCAAACAGACAAGTCATATTGATGATTATATTAGGCATTTATGCAGAAATAATTGTATCATTTAATGGATGTTTCTGTGGCGTACTGTGGCTCGAAATCGGACAGAAAAGGTCGGATGTGGAACCAGGGTCAACCCCATGTTGCTACAAGTAGCAACGGGGGGGGTCGTATTTTGATGAGTTTGTAGAGGGGGAGTCGTATATTTTGATGAGTTTGCTGCTAGGAGGGGGGGGTGGGGGTATATTTTGATGAGTTTGTAGAGGGGGGGGCGTACTTGCTTTCGATTGTAAGAAGTTGCATGAGATGTGAGTGAGAGGAGTGGCGCGGGAGAAAATTTGCCGTTTCAGCGCGTGTATATACCCCCCCCCTTAGAAAATGAAGCGTGAGGATTATAGGTAGGAGGTAAATTTAGGGAATTTAGGTAAATTTTTACGGTTTCAGAGTGACTATATACCCCCGCTCGACGGCATTTTTGGAGGAAAAAGTGGGCGGAGTTTGGTGGGTTGAGTGATACCAGAATTAAATACTATAGCGAGGAATATGGTGGTCGAGGGTCGAGAAGGGGGTCGTACCAAATCCACCTTGGGGGAGGGGGGTCGTAAAAATTTTTCGAAAAGTAGCAACGATAGGACCGACCCTGCTTGGAGGTGTAAGGTACTTTTAGAGGTGAAAATATTGTCTAAACCTCTTCTCCAAACTCCAATGACCGTGGAATAGCGCAGGCAGTCAGCAACACCCGAACCATGGGTTAGCAAGGTGAACCCTATCCTGCCTATAAGAGACAACAGGGGGGTCGTACTTTTGGTTCAGGCTGTGCAGGCGAGACCTACTCTCGGTCGGCCGGCACGTGCAATAATCTGGGCAATAGTCGCCATTGAGTGCATAGCATGGTTGGATAGCGGAGGGAAGAGAAAGACGCGCACCTGGTAAACCCAGCGCTTGTCTTGCTAAGTGCGCTTTAATGGAAATAAGGCGGAATCACAAGCGGGGCCCCCACACGGTCGAGGCGTGGCGCACGACTAAGGTCTTGAGGGATGCAAGTGCGAGCGCATAGGCGCGGATGCCTAAGCACATTCAAAGACGCGACCAATTCGCGGGTTTACGGCTTACGGATACGAGGGGGTCGTATGTCAAATGCACCAGGAAGCGCGGCGGGGCGTTGTTCGGAAAATTTTTCTAAAACCCGGTACCAAGATAGGGTTGACCCGTGGGAGTGGTATCCGTTGGAAGCAGAATTCCACAAAAGGAGTTTATCATGACGTTCGGGCAGCGGACGAGGTTCAACGGAATCGCATTGGTCCCTCTGCTTTCGAACGCTGCGTCATCTGATCCTTATTGAAAACTTGGCGTACCGTATTACTAGTTCTAGTTATTCGACCATATGTATCCTATTGTTACCTTTCAAAATGTTAGTTTATCTACACCGCAGGAAAAGAAAAGGTTCAGAGTGGGCGGGCGCAGAAATGGAGTTCGCATGGTACCTGGCCTTTAAAAAAAGGTACATTGTATTTGTGAGAAAAAAATCGACCACGTACTGAACAACAGATCAGCTGTTGGCATCAGGGGTGACCCGCTTCCCCTCCTCCTCCCCCTTCCCTCTGATCTCAAAATACGCACCTGAGACCTAACTTTTCAAGCGGAGGTCCTGCAAACTTTACGATTCGTTTATTTCGTCATAAACGGGTGAACTATTGGGCTATTCCAATTTCCCAGTGGATA